ACACGACATAGTCCCGTGAGGGACTAGATCATACGGAGGTATGATCGGGAGCTACTGGAAGCTCCACTTCGGTGAACAACACGACGGTAAGAAGGGCTATGGATTCAAGGAGTGAAGGCCATGGTACCGTAGAGGCGGGTCTTCCGTGCGTGCATCGAATTTTACATCGGATGAAAGCCCTAGTCATCAGCATATGGGGGTTGGGTTCCACCAAGGGAAAAGTTCGAATGCAAGTACCAGTGAGTTCCATGGGAGGGACTTGATCATGCAGAGGTATGATCGAAGCAGCTAGAGAGTTGGACTGCTCTAGAGCTCATATTCGCTTCAAGGAGCCCGGCAAGTCAGAGGACAAGGGCGAGTAAGCAAACGTTGCTACCAAGGAAGCTAAGGAGAACAGAATCGGTGCAAACCTACAACGTGATGGCAGAGGCCATGCATGGGAGTTGCAGTCTGTCTTTCCATCGACCAAACGGACTCCTTGGAGAACATAGAGGTGTTGACGCAGGGGGTCGAAAGGGGCGAGGAAGCAACGACGAGTCCAGAAGGACTTAGCTACCCAAAATCAAGCATCAGTTAGAATGGAGGTGGACTCGGAGGAGTGCCACAGAGGAATATCTACTGATTGCGAAGAAAAGGGGCCGAGGAGGTGGAGAATGCAGAGGCAATCTCCAAGTACCGAGACAAGGCTGAAGGGCAAAAGCCGAAGAACTTCGTAAGACCGGTGTCAATGTGCTTCTCATCAAGATAGCCGAAAGTGAAGGACTTCGGGTCATGCAAGAGTGCATAACCAAGGAACGAAGCAGGCAGCACGCGGTGCTGTACCTTTGCTACTCAGTGTAGTAGGCGGCAGGGTTGATGGAGAAGATGGTACAATCCCATAGGTGACCAAACCTATGAGAGAATTACTCTAAGTTGGGGTGAAAACTTCCTCCATTCCAGAAGTTCGATGGCATTGAGAAGGTGAATCACAGTAACTAACTCAACGCAAGGAGTACAAACACTTCAAGTGCTTCAGAAGTGTGAGCAAAGAGCAGGCGAATGCCAGTAACCAGCTCGATGCATG